CTCGGTTCCCGAGGTCGGATTTGGAACTCAGGCTTGAAGGGGAGGAGGCCTTTTGAAGGCAGGTCACAACTACATTTCTGTGGAACTTAACAGCTATGTAAGTAGTTTACAGAAACCAAATCAAAGGCTTAATCAATTTTACAACAGTTTTCCAGTTCTGGGGAGGGAGACAAGGAGTCACAGTTGTCAGGAATTTAGAATAGGCATCTAGCACAAAATGAAGTTTTTCCTTAGCCATCTGTGATACAGTTACATATTTGCGATTAACTAAAAAGTAAAACTGGGCCGGGCATTGGTGGCGCACGCCTTTAATCCCAGCACTCGGGAAGAAGAGGCAAGTCTGATCTCTGTGAGTTCGAGGCCAGCCTGGTCTCCAGAGTGAGTGCCAGGATAGGCTCCAAAGCTACACAGAGAAACCCTGTCTCGGAAAACAAAACAAAACAAAACACAAAAAAACAAAAAACAAACAAAAAAACCAAGCCTCGTCTTGGCTGCTTAGTTCTAGGATTGTTTTGTTTTGTTTTGGTTCCAGTCGCTTTTTTACTGAAGACTGAATTTAGGTCCTTGCTTAGTCAAGCACACTACCACTAAGCTGAACCCCAACATCTTTCCTGCTTTTTAAATGCTTTATTCAGAGACACAGTCTCAGTGAATTGGAGGTGCTGCAGTTAAACTTGTGTAGCACAGGCAGGCTTTGATTCTTCCTGCCTCAACTTTCCAAGTAGTTGTCACTACAGATCAGCACAAGCCGACTAGCCTGGAATCCGGCTTATTGTAGAGTTCCATCCACCCTGGGAACTTTGGTTGCTAGAATTAGCTACATTCCAGTGTATATGCTGGTGGAGGGCAGAGAAGTGAGTAGCCAGAACAGGCTTGGCACACAGTACCTGAACTAGTATTGGGTGGTGAATAAAGGCTACATAAAGGAATGTGCTGTGGGGTGAAACAGTTTTCAGAAATGTATTTGAAGATCTTGAAACTCACTTCTCCTTGTAGGAACGACGTCCAAGAGATAGGAGAAGAGGTAGGAAATGTGGCAGAGGCCATAAAGGAGAAAGACAGAGAGGAACTCGGCCCCGGCTGGGCTTTGAGGGAGGGCAGACTCCCTTTTACATCCGAATCCCAAAGTATGGATTCAATGAAGGACATAGGTAAGTGTATTTTGCTTTTGAAGCACAAATCCCTAGTTTCCACCAAGAATTACACAAAATAATTTGGTAGAAGCCTTGTATTTACTTCAAAGCAAGCTTGTAGTACTGTTCCTCTGAATAATTTTCAGATAGGACACTTAGAGAGAGAGAGAGAGAGAGAGAGAGAGAGAGAGAGAGAGTGTGTGTGTGTGTGTGTGTGTATGTATGTGTATGTATGTATATGTATGTATGTGTATGTGCTCTTAGGCAAGCATATAAGCCCAGATATTTTGCTCCTACCAGCAAAATGGGGATGATAATGCTTGCTATCATGATTCTTTTGATGTTTAGTAATTTAAAAGTAATGTGTATCTTTGTATACCCCCCCCCACATATATAGCATATTGTAGCTACCATTATTCTATAATCTGACCATTATTCTATAATCTGTTATTTTGGGTTAAACTTTTTAAAGTTTACTTGTGTACATGAAGTAAATGTTTAGAAAGGTAAATTGTTTTTAGTAGAACAAAGGAAGCACCAGTGTATTACGTTTTTGTATTGTACTCATACGTTTATTTTAAACCATGAGAAACAGCAAGGAAAACAGAACAAAGCTGTTGATTTGAAGAGGTTACAGGAAGACTACTTGGTGTTTTCTGACTATTATGTTCCTGTTTTACAGTTTTAGACATCAGTATCAGCCTTTGAGTCTCAGGAGACTGCAATATCTCATTGATTTAGGGCGAGTTGATCCAACACAACCTATTGACTTAACTCAGCTTGTCAATGGAAGAGGTGTGACCATCCAACCACATAAAAGGGATTATGGGGTCCAGCTGGTTGAAGAGGTAACTCTACGTTTGTTTTTGTTTGTTTTGTTCATTTGAGGAGGTTTTGGTAGTATATAGCTACTTTGCCATAATAGTCCCTCCTTACCTGTGAGGGGCACATAGCATGTGGATGCTTCACTGTGGTCATCACCAAACTGTATAAACAGTTTTTTCCAGCTTTCATATAAACATCAGATATGAATTAATTCTTAAGTTAGGCATAGTGGGAAGTTAATAATAATTTGCTACAGTTCTTAGTAACTTTAACTTATTACTTTGTTAAATGGAGAACTACCATCTCTTTACTTCATGTATACAGTTTTTAGTTCCTCTTTGTCATATCTGAATTGTCAGTATCACTGCTCTTGTAGATTGGGGCCATCATTAAGATAAGGGATACTATACAGTATTGCAATACTATGGCAATACTATGGGTGGGTAGCAGATAGAGTGTGAAAATGATATAGAAAGGTATGATTCATGTTTGGGAGGGATGGGCATTCGATTTCATGCTGTGCAACATAGTTTAAAACCTGAAGTGTACTGGAGATGCATTTCCAGCCTGCACAGGGTCTTGGTTTGATTCTCAGCTCTGCAGAACCAGTATCTGAAACTGTGAAGGTGAAACTGAGGGACTACTTAATCAACCTGTAGCCTTCTTGGGGCCTGAGAGATAGATCAGTGATAAAGAACATCAGGTGTTTATCTAGAAGACCACCTGTAACTTCAGTCCCAGGAGACCCACCACCCTATGCCAACCTTGATGGGAACTGCATACACATGGTGCACAGACACTCATGCAGACAAAACACACAGAATACATACAAACATACTTCATATTAGCTGTAGTTATAGAAAGCTGATGTATATTCAGGGCACAGCTCTGTCTTCTGCTTCTGTGGGTCTGTAAAGCTTTCCTCCCTTGTTTCTTTGATTTTCACCTGTCAGCATAGAAATTATTTGTGTTGTTTGAGGCAGGGTAGCTCTGGCAGGCTGTCCTGGAACTCACTATGTAGACCAGGTTGACTCCTGCCTTTGTCTCTTGAGTGCTGAGATGGCAGGCCTGTACCAGTATGTCTGTTCACCTACCCCATACTTTTAACAAATAGTTTAAGTACATTGCAAGATGACAAGAGCCTGCAGTAGCTCAAGTGCTGCCTGTGGCCCTGTTCACACTCTTAGAAGCACACTCTATGCCTGCCTTTTCCTGCCCAAACCATTTCCCTTTTTATTGTTTTTATTTTATGTGTGTGAGTGTTTTGCCTGCATGTGTGTACCTTTTGTGAGTATGGTGCCAGCTGAAGCTTTGGATGCCCTAGGACAGGAGTTATAGATGCTGTGAGCCACCATATGGGTTCTGGTAATAGAATCCTGACCCTCTGGAATAGCAACTAGCTCCCTTGACTGCTGAGTCATCCCTCCAGCCAACTAATTTTTCTTACTATCTGGTACACAACTGCACTTTGGTTTCTTTTTCTTTCTCACTATCACCTAAAACTTGTAAAAGGTAGATACTTTGTTATAGTTTCAATATCAGCAATCTTAGCTCTGAAAGTTACTTAATATTTATGGAAAAAAGGAATGAATTAAATCCCTTTCAGCTTTAGTAGAAATTTTTGTTACACCTATTGACCAACAGCAGTTCATATTCATAAGCAGATTATAACTACGTAGCTGAGTAGTAACTTGGTGTCCACTAGAGGGAAGCATTTGTCCATGAAAGAACCTTGTAAAGTCCTTTGAGAATGTGACCCTAGGTCTCATTTGGTATCTGATATGGTAGATCATGCCTGTGATCCTAGCACTTGGAAGACTGAGGCTGGAGGATTCTTGAAAGATGAGGTTTCCTTGAGCTGCATAGTGAATTCTAGGTGTGCCTTGACTGCACTATAAAACCCTGTCTAAAAGAAAAACAAAACAAACTGTAATAAAACCAAACAGTTAAGTTCATTTGGAAAAAAAATACCAAAGACATGATTGAGCTTCAGTATTCTACTATGGATATGTAAAATCCTCGTCCTTGGCAGTATTTAAATAGCATGTCTCTGTTTAGGTATGTGTGTATTATGCTAGTGGACATTATACTGAAAGTTCTATGCTGGGACAATGATTAAATACATGTAGTCACACACTTAAAGTTTATACATTGTTTGCCTTTTCTGAGTTTAGATTTGCAAGTAAATAGTGGATAATAAGATGCTGTGGTTAGTAGGCACAGAATTATTTGGGAATATGTATTTGTTGCTGAAGTTTCTTTCCAGCCTGGTCCTGCAGCCGCCTTGCCCCAAATAGACTTATATTAATTTATAAACTGTTGGCCAATGGCTAGGGCTTCTTACTTGCTAGCTCTCTCTTAATTATTGTCCCATAATTACTAATCTACATATTTCTATATGACCTTATCTTACCAGAGAACGCCCAGCTTGTCCTATCTTCCTGGTGTCTACATGGCATCTCCTTGTGGCCTCTCTCTGCCTTCTCTCCCCAGCATTCTCATCTCCTGGTCCCGCCTATCTTCCTGCCTCTGCTGATTAATTATACTTAAAGTACTGGAACTAACACTAGAGCCAGAATAATGAAATGGTTGAGCAGATTACAGAGTAGTAACAGTGGTCATTTGTTTGTTTGTTTACTTAGTTTTTTGAGACGGGATTTCTCTGTGTAACAGCTGTTCTGGAATTAAGTAGATCAGGCTGGCCTCAAACTCAGAGAGATCCACCTGCCTCTGTCTCCCAAATGCTGAGATTAAAGGTGTGTGCCACTACTGACTGGCCTCAAAGTAGTAATTGATAAGAAAAGAAAATCAGGGCTGGAGAGAGATGGCTCAGAGGTTAAGAGCACTGGCTGCTATTCCAGAGGTCCTTAGTTTAATTCCCAGCAACCACATGGTGGCTCACAACCATCTGTAATGAGATCTGGTGCCCTCTTCTGGACTGCATAGATATATACAAACAGAACACTGTATACATAATAAATAAATAAGTCTTTAAAAAAGAAAAGAAAATCACAAATTAATACATCAAGTTCCTAATTCTGAATTGACAGTCTATTGATTATAAAAATGCACACCATTATCAAATATAAAAAGAAACTACATCTTATAGTTGATAGAATAGCTAGAATATTTTGAAATATATGAAATGTTCATAACAAAAGGAATCAGACTAGAACTAGTTTTAGCCATAGTAAAATAGCAAAAGCAGTGTTTTGAAGTTAGACAGGACTTTAAGGAGTCCATTGCTCCATCTTCTAGTGTTAAACATTTTAGGGAAAAATAGATGCCTCCTCCATTTTAGATAGTATAATAAAGTTGGCAGTGAATACAAAATGGGTCCTCCCCCCCCCTTGTTTCTAAAGACAGTTAACCCCTTCAGTATTGTCAGATAATTTTGTTTTCAAGACTGCTCCAAATTCTTGCCTCCTCTATAACCTTCTGTTGCTTGCTTAGGGATAAAGAAGACTTCTAAAAACAAAATTTATATGTGTTTTACCTGCTTGTATGTCTGTGCACCCCATATGTGTCCATTGCCTGGGGAGGCCAGAAGAGGGCGTCAGCATTGGATCTCCTGGAACAGGAGTTACAGATGGTTCTCAGGCACCATGTGGGTGCTCGGAGTTACAGATGGTTCTCAGGCACCATGTGGGTTCTGAAAATCAGACTGACACCCTCTGGAAGAACAGCTAGTACTCTTATGTGCAGTGCCATCACTCCAGCCGCAGGAAGATTTGGTTTTAGTCTATATAATGGACCATAATATTGTTAAGAAATGGCCGGTAAAATGTCTTTGTGGGTAAAGGCCACTCAGACATGGAGACATGTGTTTAATACCTGGAGTCCACGTAAAGGTGGAAAGGGAGAACCACAAAACTGTCCTTTGTTGCATGCTGCAATCACACAGGGGTGTCGGGGATGGGGTGGTAGGGTGGGGGGATATAGTTTTTTAAAGATGGTGCTGGGTATGTAGCTGACTGACCTTGACTTTCCATTCTCAGCATTGGAAAAAGGAAAGTTGCAACTCAAAGGCTCTGGCTACACTCTGGATTAATATCCTGACTTTGTGTCTTGGATGAGTTACTCAATAGCCTGTATGCCTTCTCATCCCCATCTGAATTTGGTGTAGTATTAATCCTGGCTAGGATTAAATAGTGTACTTACTACTAATGGAGTATGGCCCATGGATGCTTCTCTCAGTACCTACTGAAGGCAGAAAATGGAAATCAGGCAGGCATTCCTACTTTCAGGGCTTGAGAATTGGTGAAGCATTGTGTACCCTGAGCCAAGGTAGTTAGAGATAGGATTGCAGGTTCTTTGGAGGGGATAGCACAGCTGGAAATGGACCTTGTGCTGGTTGCCTTCAGCTAAGCTATTGACTAACAGGCCTTGTGTTAACTATGACAGGGTGCTGATACTTTTCAAGCAAAAGTGAATATTGAGGTGCAGTTGGCTTCAGAATTAGCCATTGCTGCGATTGAAAGAAATGGTGGTGTTGTTACTACAGCCTTCTATGACCCAAGAAGTCTGGGTAAGTCTATCCTGTGGTCAGTTTCTTTCTTTATCTAGTATTGCCCACTGTTTGCCAGTTTTTAATGGTTTTGTTGTGCTCACAGCTGCCCCCTTGAGGCCCCCTTGTACATTGCACTCATGTACACATACCTCCATAGACATAAATGTGTACACATAACTAAAACTAAAAAAAGTTAAAATACTTTTTCAGAGGGGTGTTAGCTCATCTGAAGTGTTTACTAACCTTGCTTCACTCCCTTCTCCTCCCCTCTCCTTTCTGTCTGTCTTCCTTTTTGAAACTATAAACTATTAAAAATGACTTTTCCAGCCTGGCTTAGCTCAGTAGGCAGGAACCCATGATGTGCAAGTCCGACCTGAGTTTGATCCCATGGTGGAAGGAGATAGCCAACTCCTGAAAGTTATTATCAGATCTCCATATGCAGCACAGCACACAGGATAATAATGAGAAAATAAAAAATCTTTATGAGGAGTTGTTTCTATTTTATTACTTAAGCCTATTTAACTAAAAAGTTCTTGGAATTCAGTTCTCATCTCAGTAAATTAATAATGTTGAACATAGTTATGCATAGAGCCAGTATTTACATCTCTTTTTTAAAATTCTTTTTAGAAATCCTGTGCAAGCCTGTTCCTTTCTTTCTTCGGGGACAGCCCATTCCAAAGCGAATGCTCCCACCTGAAGCACTGGTGCCCTATTACACAGATGCAAAAAACCGGGGGTACCTGGCTGACCCTGCCAAGTTTCCCCAAGCAAGACTTGAACTCGCCATGAAGTATGGCTACGTTCTTCCCGATATCACAAAAGATGAACTTTTCAGAATGCTCAGCGCTCGGAAGGATCCAAGGCAGATTTTCTTTGGTCTTGCTCCTGGTTGGGTGGTGAATATGGCAGATAAGAAAATTCTAAAGCCTACAGATGAGAATCTCCTCAAGTATTACAGCTCCTAAACTCTCTTCCAGTAAAGCAATCAGGTTGAGAGCCACTAAGGCTGAATCAACGAGGCTTCTTGAGGGTCTCAAGTCCTCAGGTTGATCCCCCACATCATTGTGGTCACATCTGAAGTGAAATCCCAGGCATCGGAACTGAACCTTTCTGGTGTACACCTTAAAAAGTCAAATGGTGATGGTCTTTAAGAAGGTGATTTTTTAAAAAATTACTTAAAAGCACCTTCCCCCATTTTTGTTTTTTGTTTGTTTGTTTTGAGGCAGGGTTTTTTTGTGTAGCCTTGGCTGTTCTGGAACTCACTCTGTAAACCAGGCTGACCTTGAACTCACAGAGATCCCCCTGCCTCTGCCTCCCGAGTGCTGGGAACTAAAGGCATGCACCACCACTGCCTGGCTGAAACATTTTTTACTGTCCGTCTTTTCATGGTCTTTCTTTCCCTTTTTGTCAGAGTGAAGGGCAAGAGTAGAGGATTGATTAGTGGGCCTGGGAGCGGGAGCTAAGGAGCTGTGGCTTCTTTTACTCAGTATCCCCAGGGAAGCTCTGCTACCCACTGTTAGGATAGTGAGTCCCTGCTGGGATTGGGATGCTCAGAATGACGGACAGCTGCTGAGTATTCTTAAAGGAGCATATCAGCAGTGGAGCTAGAGAAAGGAAGATCATGAATTAATTTTCCCAGCATTCGTAAGTATAGATAATGGTCAAGCCATTAGCATTTCTCTTAAAGAAAGCGTTCCAATTGATAAAAATTTGTCTCATACTTCAAGACATTTCAGTTTAAGAAAACGTATTCAATGGTTACATAAGCTATATAAACAAATGGAAATTAGGGTTTGTATTTTGCTCTAGGTGGTGGTTTTGAGGCTGGCCTTGAGTCCTGAGCTCTAGCTTTCCTGGCAGGTGGGACTGCTGTGTCCAGCTTAAATTCAGTTACTGTAAAAGATTCAGAAATTAACGAGCTTTTCAAAGAGAAAGTGTCCACATCTTGCAAAGGCTTAATTTACTTGAAGTGGTTATAGTTTTTGGTTGTATGAAGCATGGTCACGTGCATCCCATACTGTCCTTGAATTCCTGATCCTTCCCATGTGTTGAGATTACAGGCATGAGCCTCCATGCCTGGCTGAACAATTAAACATTGATCTTGAATAATTCATAATAATTCTCCCACTGTTAAAATGATTCCTAGCTGGTTATCTTAAAATAAAACCCCCAGACTCATAAATCATGCAATGTGTGTTTTACTGACTTTTATACCTTATGTTTGCTGACCTGGGATCTAGTTTATAAAGTGATGCATGGGCCTAGAGTGAGTTTCAGTTTTTATCCAGGACTGTGTAGTTGTGTTTGGTACAAACTCTAGTAAGAACTCGGAGATAAGGAAAATCATCCTTAGACCAACTTCTGTGATTGAATTTGAAATCCATTTTTTCCCCTTTTGAGACAGGATTTCTCTGTATATCCATGGTTGTCCTGGAACTCTGTAGACCAACTGGCCTTGAACTCAGAAATCTACCTGCTTCTGCCTCCCAAATTCTGGGATTAAAGGCATGTGCCGCCACCACCCAGCTGAAATCAATTCTTAAAACATGTTTATATTTTTTCAGAGACCTGGTTGGTTTTAGCTCTGCTAGTGGAAACTCCAAGTCCCAAAGCTTGAATGAAGCAACACTAACTCACAGGTGAGCTACCAGGCTCTGTGGCAGTTGGTGGCAGCTGCTTCTTTTTGAACTCCTTTCTGACAGTGAGGTCTAAATAGAGCCAGCTTTTCCTGAGCAAAGTTAGAAGCTGCCACATAAAGCTTCTGTTGTTTGCTATTGGCCTGACCCTGAATACAGTCCTGTGTTTGAAGGGGTTAGAAGTTTGTGGCAGCTGGTGGTCTTGGGTGAAAAGTCCTGTTAAAAGTGACGAGTAAGCGAGGTGGTAGTGACCCATGCCTTTCGTCCTAGCACAACTGGAATGTTGAGTGCAGTGCTTTACATAACTATCAGTAAATTGATTAATTCAGCAATCCTTTTGTGGGTTGGGGTCCTCACTAAATCCCTGGATGGCCTAGAACTCTATATAGACCAAACTGGCCTCAAACTGAGATCTGCCTGTGTCTGCCTTCCTAGGCATGTCCACAATACTTGGCCTTTATTATAATCTTTTTGCAGAGGAATGATACAAAACCAGGGAACTGTCTGTGGAAGCATTGTCTTCTGTATCTGCTTTTTTTCTCTCCCCTGTTTTCTTGAGACAGGATTTCTTTGTGTAACCCTGGCTGTCTTAGAACAGGCTGGCCAAATTCACAGAACTATCTGCTTCAAGGCACACACTACCACTGCCTGGCAATATATACCTGCTTTTAAAAACATTTTCACTTTAAAGCTATCTTATACTTCCAGTATTAGATATTTTAAAAGATACATTTGAGGGATTGGGGAGATGGCTCAGAGGTTAAGACTGGCTACTCTTCCAGAGGTCCTGAGTTCAATCCCCAGCAACCACATGGTGGCTCACAACCATCCATAATGAGAGCTGGTGTCCTCTTCTGACATGCAGCCAGAACATTGTATACATAATAAAAAAAAAATTGTTTTTGAAGGTACATTTGAATAATCTAAGGCAAAGAGATAATAGGATTGCAATGAAGACTGCACAGAATGCTCAGGTACAAAGAAAATGTTTCAGTTGTCAAAGGGAGTCCCTATGGGTTAGTAATTGATACATTTCAGGATGGAGAGAGATCTCAGCTGTTCAGGGCTAAGACATCCAAAACTTCAAAAATTGAGTGCATTTTATTCTGTTTAAGTCATTGCTGGGAAAAGCTCTTAAAACTTCGTATCAGAACAAAAGTTCTTGTTTTGAACATGATGTAATATTGAAGTATTTTAGTTTTGTGGTTCAGCATAGTTTGAAACTTGGCATGTAGTGGAGGTCAACCTGGAACTTCTGCCTCTACCTCCTTAGTGCTGGGGTTACAGAAGTTCTGCCTCCATGCCCAGCTGTTGAAGGGCTAATAGGACCAAAAATCCACATTCTGCTGCTGTTGCACCTGTTTCTCAGAGGTCCCAGAGCTAGTTCTGTTTAAGTGGAAGGATAGATTATTGCTAATGTTGGAGCGCTTCTTGCCTCAGGTTTACGTCATTTATTTTTGTTAGTGGAGGTTCAGTCCAGGGCTTGTGTGCTGAGCATGGCTGCTGAGCTGCACCCCAGCATACAGCATCTATTGTAGAGAGACTCCCGAGCACTTCACTGCTCAGGGATTTAAACAGCCTTGATGTCCTTATGCTGTTTAAAGTGGGGTGCATCAGACAGGTTGCTTCAGCTTTCTTAACCTGAAGGACCCTGCCGGTCTGTAAGCAACAAGGAGTGAGTGTGTGCAGGCACTCTGCAGTCTTTCAACCTCCTGTGCACCAGTGCTTCACATGCCACTGCTGGGAGACTCTACTCTCCCTCTGCCTCCAGCGCCAGCTGCAGCTCCCCAGTGACACAGATGCTTCCTTGATCTGAGGAGAATTTTGACCTCAGATTATATCTGCATAGAAATAAATTTCCTTAAATGTAAAGACATCCTGTATTATAGCTGTGTATGGGGTGTGGAAATAAAAGATCCTGTTTGGTGTGTAGCCCTAGGTAAGTTACTGCCTTGCCTTATTGTGCACGACTTTCCTTTGGTGATGCAATTTACCATTGTGGGGCTCAGACACTGCCTCCACAGGAAAACTTCTTCACAGGAAGTGAGAGAGGATATTAGTCACCTCAAGGGGGACAACACTGCTGCCTTCCATCTCAGAATGTGCTCTGAGGGGCCTTAGACTCTCCTCCCCCATCCCTCCAAGCAGAATGACTAACTGCCCTCCCAACATTCATAGGAGAGCTGACAGCCAACATGGCCTTTTTTCATTTTGCTTGTCTTTGGTGGCCTACAGGTGGAAGGAAATCGGGATAGAGTGATAAAGGGAAGAATAAAAACAGGAAACAGATGTTCGGTGAGGTAGAATGTTTATTTGGTGACAGGGACTTTGTCACAAACAGCTGTGTCCGGGTTGTGATACTGTAGACCCCCAGCTCTTTCTCAGCCAAAACAGCACGTTTCATACAATGCGTCTCATATACTCCAGCTCCAGTGCCATTTAAAGGTGTCCGGGAGGAAATGGTAGTGCTAGGGTTCTGATGACTTGAGAATCTACCTTAAAAAGCAGTAAGGTTTCAGTTCAGATGTGTCCTTTCCCAAAACGTAGCTTCAGCTCTTCTCCCATGGGTTGTGGTGGCCAAGCCCCAAAACCCTTGAGTTAATTTGTGTTTTAAAATGATTTTTAGGGCCAGGCATAGTGGTGTATGCCTTTAATCCCAGCATCCAAAAGGTAGCGAAGGTGGATCTGAGTTCAAGGCCAGCCTGGTCTACAAAGTGAGACTGTCTCCAAAAGTCTAAACATAAAAGCAAAACAAAAAACCCCAAACGACTTTAGGACTGGGGAGATGGCTTGAGTGGGCACTGTGTGCTTCCGCTCCAGAGTCTGTGTGAACCATGTGAACAGTAAGCATGGGTGTGGAGGGTGAGCAGTCAGATAGAGCCCTGCAGGCTCCCCAGCAGCCACTTAGCCAAATGGAGAGCTTCAGGCTCAGGAATGAGAGGCCTTGTATCAAGTGGAAGCTGTAGGCTAGAGAGTTGAGTTGGCTTAGCAGTGCCCAGAAGAGCACTTGTTCTTGAAGAGGATCCAAGTGCAGTTCCCAGCACCCACATGGTGACAACTACCTGTATCTCCAATTCCAGGGGATCCAATGTCTCTTTTGACTTCTGTGGGCACCAGGCACACATGTGGTGCTCTTACATACATGTAAACAAGATAGTCATATAATAAAAAAAGCTATTGAGAAAAGACATCTGAACAGCATCTGCCCCTAACCCCCACCCCATTTCTAAACTTGGAGGGGAAAAATTGCTATGAGTTTCTGGTTTTTGTTTTTTGTTTTTTGTTTTGTTGTTGTTGTTTTCTAAATTTAAGTTACTATTTGGAAAGTAGAGGGTCCTTTACAGGGTGGAAAGTGTCAAATGCCAACAGTACTGCCTGTTTGACCTTGCGTAGAAGAGAGTGGGCTCTGGTGTTAATGGGAGTCCCATAAGGGTTGTCTTTCTGGAGATCTTGCTGCAGGCAGACGGTGGCACAGTGTAGCTCTCCTGTTTCATGCCTGGACCTGCAGAGCCGTCTGGATGGAACACTTGAACCCTAGTTAAAGTAGGACCAGATGTAGGACTTGGCATGCAGTTGATTCTCTGCCTCATTCTCACCATTTGAGAAATGGAAGCTAAAATACAGATAATCTTAGGATTACTGCTGTTACAATGAACACCTTGACCACAATGATGTTGGGAAGAAAGGAGTTTTTTTGGCTTACACTTCCACAGCACTTTTCATCATTTAAGGAAACCAGGACAAGAATTCAAACAGGGCTGGAACCTGGAGGCAGGAGCTGATGCAAAGGCCATGGAGGGATGTTGCTTACTGGCTTGCTCAGCCTGCTTTCTTATAGAACCCAGGACTGCCAGGCAACCACTATGTCCTAGGCCCTCTCCTATCAATCATTAATACCCTACAGGCTTGCCTAGCTGGATCTTATGGAGGCATTTCCTTTTCTTTTCTTTTCTTTTTTGTTTTTTGTTTTGTTTTGTTTTGTTTTTCAAGACAGGGTTTCTCTGTGTAGCTTTGGAGCCTATCCTGGCACTCGCTCTGGAGACCAGGCTGGCCTCGAACTCACAGAGATCCTCCTGCCTCTGCCTCCCGAGTGCTGGGATTAAAGGCGTGCGCCACCAACACCTGGCATGGAGGCATTTTCTTAACTGAGATTCATGTCAGATGACTCTGTGACAAGTTGACAGCAAACTGGACAGAACAATTAGGAGAATTGAAAGTAGTCTGTAAGGCATGGAACCCATGACCTTCCTTGTAAGGCCTCCTGAAGTATTGGTAAATTAGTGTCTTCTGATCCTTTAATAGCTGCTATCCTGATCATGCTACCTCCTGTCCTCTTTTTTCTTTATTTCTTTCTGTGTCTCTGCATAGCCCCTGCATAGCCTCAGGCTGGCCTCTAATGCAGAGATCCACCTGTCTCTGCCTCCCGAGTGATGGGATTGAAGGCATGTGCCAACACTACTGGACTAAAGATTTATTTTATGTCTATTAATGCTCTGTATACCTGCACACCAGAAGAGGGCAGCAATGGTCATTATATAGCTGGTTATGA